GTGTACACAAGAAGTTTCTGGAGGCCAGGCTTGATGCAACTTAGTCTGCCCAGACAGTGGTCAGGATTAGGAAATCACGCTCTTTGAATGGTTGGCTGATGGTGGTGTACACCACTGGAGAGGAAAAATATTGCTTCTATTTTTAAAATTTTTCATCCTTCTCTCTCTGTGTATTAAACTTCTTACCTAATGTTTCAAGTTGCAGAGATGATAATAGAGTAGAGAGCCCACACAATGGAGGGTAAGGACTTCTTTTGCCCCAGCTCTCCTCTGATAATCCAAATGGCTCTTCCAGCCCATTGGGAGGATGGTTCTCCAAAAAGATTCCCTCTGAGCTATGTAGAATGTCTATGGTTTATGTCATGTCAGGGAGTCTTAGGTAAGGGCCCCTGGGAAACAGACACTGTTGAGATTTGCCTAAAGAAGGTTTATTGGGGACTGCTTTTGGAAACAACACTACAAGGGAGTGAGGGAAACAAGATGGGGCAGAAGGAGAAATTGACTTGTAATAAATTTGCCACAGAAGCCTCAGGCCATCCCCCAGGGGAGCTCTGGAGCTGGGATGACCCTTCAAAGTTGTCCAGAATTGAGGCAAGGGGCCAGGCCTTTGCACCTCCTCCTCATTAGCCTCTCCTTACATGTGGGCTGTTTCCAGGCAGGCAACTCTATTCAGATGGAAATTCTTGGAGAGTGACTCAGCTATGAGCCGTTGGAAGGCAACACTCCCAGCAGCAAGGGAAATGAGCACTTCAGTTGTGCATGGGGGAGTTGGTGAGCACACCACAGTATCTACTCCAATTTTCTCAGTGCTGATAGCGAGCTTGATTTCCTGAGGTGATTTGCATCATGATATCTTTAGTGGTTTGAATGGTCGCCCCCAAAAAGAGATGTGTGAGTCCTAACCCCGAGTACCTGTAAATGCCACCTAGTTTGAAAAGAGTCTTTCCAAATGTAATTAAATAGAGATCTGGAGATGAGATCATTGGCCCTAAATCCAATGACTAATATCCCTATAAGAAACAGAAGAGGAGATGACACAGGGAGAGGAGGAGAAGGCCATGAGAAGACTAAAGCAGGTTGGAGTGACACTGACAGATCCCAGAAGCTGAATAGCCAATGAGCAGATTGTCTCCCAGAGCCTCCAGAGGGAGAGCGATCTGCTGACCCCTTGATTTTGGGTTTCTTGTCTCCGTAATTGTGAGAGAATAAATTTCTGTTGTTTCAAGCCACCAAGTTTGTGGTAATTTGTTACGGCAGCCCTAGGAAACTAATACAATATGTTACACCGTTATAAGAAATTACGTTTTTAAACCCATTGTCTCCAATATCTTTGTCCAATGGATTTGGTGCAATCATGACAACAACATGTCAGGACCCAGGACTGCATGGACACTCACCGCTCACCATCATATGGTGGTGTAGAACATTTTGATAGATATTCATGAAAAAAGAGTCTTAGTTCCGAGCGTATAGCTGGGTCTTCTATTCACTTGGAAACTGGTCAATTTCTGTTTTTCTTATTCTCAAGTATTCATTTCCCCCCAAGTAAGTCATGGAAATATTTTCCTGGCCTGTGGTAGTTCATGCCCCGTTTTAGGCTTCATTCCCAGATTATAAAGGTAAAGAATCAGTGGGAAAAATCCAAGGGTTTTCCTCAATGAGGGTTTCAAGTTGATGCCTACGCTCACTCTTTTCCTTTCAAGGGAACCTGGGTCTTACTGGGAATGTTGAGACTTAATGAAAAGAGGAAGTCTGTTAAATGTAACCCTTGGTCTCCCCAGGGAGTGCTCTTGACATACAGGAGGTGACAGAGATGATGGAACTGAAGGGTGCTGATCCTTTGCCTGTCTTTAAAAGCAGGAACTAAATGCTATTCCACAGTGGTGAGGGTCTCAAAGAATGTCTTAGTCACTCTATATGCAGAACATGAAGACAGGCTCTCCTGATTTCAACTATTTCCTTCCATGAGATCCGAGATCCTCTTGCAGGCATTGCCAATAGGGGGAGCTCTTTCCCATGATAGGACGTATCTCATAATGCCTATGACTGAAAGAAGGAAATCTTTTTAAGCCCTTCTTGGAGAAGGAAAAAGATCCTCTACTGGCTCTCACCCATCACTCTGCTGCACATTCTCTGTCTGGTGGTTTCTGAGGTGCCCCCTCACTAGTGGGTTGGGCACTCAACAGTGACACCTGCTCTAGTACCGGTGGACCAGCAAAGAAAGCCTGCAGCCTTTCCTGTCAGGACAACTGAGGACCACACAGCTGGTATGCTGCATATTACTTGTTTGTCCCTCTGGATCCATCATGTTCATCATCCTGAGAGGCTGAGCTGTGTGGACTATATAAAAGAGCTCCCTTGACCTCTGGTTCAGCAGGTCCTCTATTTTAGAGGGAGGAAGAAGAGTGAGGTCGAGATACTTATATCCCCAGCTCCCTACTGGAAGAGTTTCCATGACTTGACTGCATTTCTGTCCTGACGGCCACAATTCCTGTCAAGGGGCTCTTTCCCTACAGCTACTCTCTGTGGTGACCCTCTCCCATTTTCCCTCAGAATGGAATGGCTTCCCACTGTTGCTAGCCCCGAGAACTATGCCATCCCTGTTGTTTCCCCTACATCCTATCACACCTTTATAAATAAACCCTATATTAAACTCTACTCACTTATCACTTTTGAGCGTGCCTTCTGTTTTCAGCTGGGATGAGATTGCCTTACCAACTATGGAGTAATGCAGCATTCAGGGAGCAATAACTTCAGTGAATGCTAAGCCACTAGTGGTAGCAAAAGTTGCATGTGGCTTCTCTGATGTTTTTTCATATGATGTGCTTCTATGTAAGAAACCTAGATTTTTATCATATTCATTTCCCCACAGTTATAGCATAATACCCTATAGCTCTCTGCCCATTAGAGAATAAGTCTTGACATTGGTAGAGGTAGGATTGTCACTCATTTCTATTGTAAGTACTGTTACTGAATTCCATGGCTCACGGCACAGGGATTTCTTTATTTTCTAGTGTTGACTTGAGCATTTGGCAAGTCAGCCATGAAAATCTTTAAATTTATATTCACTTCATCAAGGTACATATGGTCTGCTCTCTTATGAACTGCTAATTTTCTTAGTCTCACGTACTTCCCAGTGGACCTAAAGGTCATAATTGGTGGTGGATTCAAAGGGAGTCCTTGAACCTCTCATACTTACAGTGGTCACCCCTCTCCTTGATCGTGCTGAAATGACATCAGCCAAGAGGAGAGGTCCTTTATCTTTGTCTCTGTGGATCAATCCTAGTATCTGACATATAGTTGGAACTCAATATTTGTTGAGAAGCTCATCAGAATGAAAGATACATCTTATTTTTAGGACTATTTGACTAGTTTATTTCAAGTTTGCAAGACATTGTGAGATGAGCATGCTATATTGTTCCCATTGAGGGAAATGGTATTACTCAGTCAAGAGAGTTTCACCAAAAAATATTCATATAGTATCTATTTTGTGCCCAATACTATTCTGGGGCCTAGGGATAGAGCTGTGAGTAAGGAGACAGCCTTAGCATGCACTCCTTCCAGAAGCACAGCCTGAGATAACAGCTTGCTTACAGTTACTTTGGGATATTATCCTCTGGAACAGGAAAGGAGGACTGAAAAGAGTAAAGCAGAGAAGGAGGGAAAGCCAATCCAAGGCTGCATTCTTAAGCAGCTGACACCATGGATAAAGGTGACTGGGTCCCTCTGGGTGCCCTCTGAGGAGCTGTGTAGAGTGCACCGCAGAATCATCCAGTCAGAAGAGGAGGGATTTATGCACCAGCTCCTGCTCTGCGTTGTGCACATGCTGCCCCGTGGGGTGTTAACTCTCTCGCTCTTTCAGAGTTGTGCATGTGTCAGAATGGACATGGCACTATGTCTCTGCCCCAGGGATGCCCAGGTCAGGGCGAGGCCTTCAGGGCAGCTGAGGAGAAGTGCTTTCAGGTTGTCCATGTGAGCAGCTGGCTGCCTCCACAACACCTGGAGTAAAAATGTGGGTGGAGACATGGTGTTTGGTGAAGCCTAAGGGGTGACTAATACCCAAGTCTCCGTCCTCACAGAACTTACATTCTAATGGAAAGTGACAATATACCAAAAGAAAATAAGCAACCTAACTTCTCATAGTGATAAGCATCATGAAGGAAACACAGTTGCTATTGTGACAGAGACCCAGGTGGGGCTCCCTTAGTTACAGGAAAGGCCTCGCAGAGCACAGATCATTGGAACAACCCCAGGATGAGAGAATCCAGTCATGTAACAAGGCTGCAGAAGAGTTTTCTATGCAGAGAAAACAGCAAATGCAGAGACCCCGGGGGTTAATGAACATGGAGAGCCCAAGGGAAAGAAAGGAAAGAGGGGGCAAGACTGTGATAAGTTGAGGGAGTGTCGGGTTGGGGAGGCAGGCCAGAGCTAGAGGCTGGCCAGGTCATGTAGGTCATGTGGTAAAGTGTTGAGTTCCTCTCAAGCATGAGTATGTCCTGAGATGTCTGAAAAGACGACCTTGACATTTACAGAACTGGCATCTGAGGTTTGCACCTATGTTGGGTGTAACTGACAGGGTCTCTGATACATTGTTCTGTGCAATTTTATGTCATAGAGGCACCCTTTGGGTTACATGTTCTGTGAGGCTGGTCTGTGGGGTGAATCACTTTGCTGGAGTGTGAGCCTAGTTGACAACTCAGCACCCCCATTCCAGCCTGGTTTTCTTGACCTTTAGTCATAGTCATGGAAATAGCAACACTAGTGACATGATTAATCTCTGTTTCTGTGCAGAAAAAAAAAATGGCTCAAAGTAAACCCAAACCCTTGGGTTCAATATTTATGGTATAAATAACTCTGTGACTTCAGGTTCATCATCTCCCTTCACTGGGCACCAGATTCCTCATTTATAAAATAAGGGGGTTGATTCTTCTGAAGTTCTGTGGTTCTGTAACTATGGTTAGAGGGTGAAACTGATACAAATACTCCTTATTCCAAGTAGATTCTGTTTCAAAAGCAATAAGGCATGATTTTATTTTAGAAAGAAAAAAGAAAGTTTTTCTAACTTTCTCAAAAGTGACAAGGCATGGTACTGTTTTAGGAAAAATCAGCTCTGAGGGTCTTCCATGTGCTTCAGAGGACTTTCCATGCAGTGTTTTTCGTTGTTCATTTGTTTGCATCATCATCTAGTTCTTCTAGAAATGTGACCTTCCCAGCGGGGTGCTGGGTAATTAGAGCAACTTCTCCTTCAGCCACCTGTTGTGTGTACTGAGGACGGAGGAGACAGATAAACAGAAAGAGAATTGTTTGGAGATGTAGATAGGAGACCCATAAGGCCTTCTCTGAGCAAAACAAAAGAGAAAAATACATCATAAATGGCTAAAGAACAGTGAAACTAAAATTGATGCTGAGTCACATAACACCAGGGTGAAGTTAATTCAATACCTTCAATTTAAAAATAGCATGCCTGGTTTCACCCAGAGAATTGGTCAGAATTCCACCAGGAAATTACATTGAAAAGCAAGCAAGGGAATAAATAGACGAACAGAAACTTCTCGAACAAATATGTGTGTGAATATATACACATATACATCTGCAAATATACATATAAATCACTCACTATTGTTTCCTCTGTGACATATAGGTGCAAGTATGCCATGGGAATAAAAAAACGAACGATTTCTAGATTGGTTCTTACTTGTCAAGATATTGGAGGCAATTTGCATTTTCATTTGAAGAATGGTTGGTTTCAACTGTCGAAGATATTAAGCTGAATAGTTTAATAGTGTAAGATAAGACTCCATGAAACAAGTAGCACAAGCTTCTTTATAACAAACTCTTCGACCTTGGGCAAGACACTTTTACCTCTGGGGCCTCAGTGTCTTCATGTGTAAAATGAAGGTTCAGTCTACACCAGATGATCAGTACAATTCCTTCCAACTGCAACATTCTACAGATTTGGCAGAAAACAGACAATCTTGTTGTGCCAGCAAGCTCATGCCTCTGTTTTTGACTCTTCCACAAAGGAGGCAAATCTTTCAAAAGTTAGACTTCTTTTCTGGAGGAGGGGAGTATGTTTTTTCACAATTATCCTCTGTATTCTTACGGTCCATTCAGGGGTCTGAAGTTCAAAACAATGTCCATGGTCTCTGTAAGATCTTCAATCACTAAACAAAATGAAATAGCGCTCATTACAAAATTTTCATTGAGCCAGCAATGTGAAACAACACCTTTTAAAAAGATGTTCAGCAATAGGGACTAAATTTCTAGCCCACTCATTTTGCCTCCCCATTACAATCCTTCGTAGCCCAAAAAAGAATTTGGTTTAGCTCTCAGTTACCCAGGAAACGCTATTAATCACAACCTCCTATTTCCTGATAACATTACTGAGCTACACCATTACAAAAGCAACAAATGCTGGAGTGGTCTCTCTCTCTCCCTCTGGCTCTCACTCTTGTGTACTCTCTCAAACTCAGAACTCTATTTAAAAGGAAATAATTGGGGAAAAAAGGGGAGAGAGTTACTGGCAAAAGGTCGGATCCAGTCCTTGGTTGACTTCACCCAGCCTATTGTTTTCACCAAGCATACAAACACAACCTCTTTACGTCAATCTGTGGTTGTAAAAATACAATGCGGTTAATAAGATTTTTGTAGCAGCCTACAAAAGGATCACAGTTTCAGAGTATCCATACTATCTTTCTTTAAACTCTAAAATCAATTGCCATGCTTCTCAGATTTTCAGAGGGTTCTTTTTCTCTCCATTGAATGTGAAGAGACATTTTAAATAAATTTTCAATGTTTTGAAACCAGGTAGAATGTAGAATTTAAAACGTTTCTTCTCTTTCTGGCTATGTTAACTTAACCCTAGAAATATTGATGGTTTGAAATGTATTTCTGCAAAAATGAATGTTACTGAGTTACTAGTGAGTGAACATTACCTTCCCAAGACTTTGGCAAAATCAAGGTCTCTCTCACTCTCCCTGCCTCTCTCATTCTCTCTCACTCTCTCTCTCTCTCTTTGTTTCAGCTTGCCACTGGAAAGAAATATTTGAAGATTACTAACTATAATTATTCAATTGAATTTTTAAATTCTATTTCTTGAAGTAAAACATGAAGTAGAAATTTTATATTTATCTACTTAAAATTATTTTTCTGTACATCCATACAATAAAATATGATGAAATTATTTTAAAAGAAAGTTTATCTCTGTTCTATAACATGTGTATATGTCTACAATATGTTATGAAGTGAAAAAAAAGCACAGTTAGAGTGCATACTATGTAGTCATTCAACACCTAACATTTCTGTTAACAACGGACCGCATATGTGACAGTGGTCCCATAAGATTAGTACCATACAGCCTGGGTGTGTAGTAGGCTGTACCATCTAGGTTTGTGTAAGAACCCTTTACGATGTTCACACAATGACAAAATCACCCAACGACGCATTTCTCAGAACAGCAGAACATATCCCCATCGTTAGTCAATGCATGACAGTACATATTTATGTAAAAGTCTAGAAAGACATAAGACAAAATATAAGTACTGGTTGTCTCTGAGTGGTTAGGATTCCAGCTGATTTTTATTTTCTTTGTTATCCTTTCAAAATGTTTTCTGATAATGAGAGAGATTGATTTTGTCATTGGAAAATGTATTAAATTAAAATCTGTCTGTAATGGATGGAATTGAGCATGGTGGAAATGATGGTGATAAAACAGATTGCTATGCTGAATGTCTCATGAAATTCTTTTTCCGTTACATAGTAATTCTTAAAACTCATAAAATTTCAGTGGAAAACCAAAACGAGGAGCTCTAATCTCATGAAGGCAGGGCTTCTACCTGACCCCAACACGTTATCCCTCACTTCCTCTCCAAAGTCCAGTGATCCTTTGGTGATTGCTCCTTGGGTGGGGTGGCTCTTCCAGCAGGAATCCAGCTCCATTACAGTTTTTCTTTTCTCCTTATTGTGATGCATGAAACTTCAGAGGAGATTTTGCTTCCATGTCCAATTGGACACCAAGCCTTGCCTCCTCTTTCTTTGTAATGTCCATGCCTCCAAAGCACTTTGCTTTAACCACTGACACCATTAGGCTCTCACAATCAGGTGTCTAAAGAAATATGACGCCTAACAGGTCTTCTGTCTCCCTTTTCGCCCTTCTTTTATTCAATCTACATATGTTCACCTAATTCATCCTTCTAAAATTTTACCTTGAATATGTTACTCTTTTGTTGAAAAACCTATAACCCTCTCTGACATGAACAAAAAAAGTGTAGAGCCCAGAATTCAAAGCCTGCATCATCCAAGCTCACCCCTTGAAAGACTTTGTCTGCCCCCAAGCCAAAGCCTCTGCTCCATGATAACAGCTGATTCACTAAATTGACCTTGAACTTCAACACTTCCAAGCATTGGCTCTTTCTGTTTCCTCTGCCTGGAATGACTTGCCTTGTGGTTTCCACCAGACTCACTTCTACAATATGAAGCCAAGTTTCGATTCCACTTGAGACGTTCCTAGCTCACTTGATCCCTGGGAGATACCCCCTTTTCTAAAGTCATATGCTACCTACTCATTCAGTTCTGTGCCTTACATTTCTTGACTCTTTTGGTGCACATGGATGTTTCTCCTTAAACAGTAAGTGCTTTAAGAGTAAGGGCTGTGTTTTGTCATTTGTATGTTAAAATCAGCTAGAACTATGCCTCTTCAGTAATCCCTTAAGAGTTGGCACACAGTAAATATTTTTTGATTAACTGAAACACTAAGCAACATGTTTTCTAATTATTTTGGGAGAGAAACATGTGCAAAGGTATAACACTCCACATTTTTGTTTTATTTTTTTATATAGTAGTTATCAGTATTGTTTGAATTAACCTCTACTAAAACCACAAAAGTAAGTTTACCTTATGCTCAACTTCCTATTTCTGAAAATGTCCTTTACTCATTGAGGGTGACTGTTTAGATGGAGCATTTAAAAAGTTTGTCCAAAACACACAATTATGGCTTGCCTCTAGCAGAAATAATGTGTGCCCCTGCTTCTCTTTGTAAATAATTGAATTTGCCTCTGAAGTTCAAGAAGTTCAGGATTTCTTTTTGTGTGTGAAACTGGCTGCTTCTGTTTTCTCTTTATATGCAGCAGACTCCAATCTACGGCAGAAGAAATGCTGTGCATTTGGGATTTGGTGAGCAGGGAGGATAATAGAAGAGATTTTCCTGACTTCCATAGAAGAGTTATTTTTAAGTATAGAGAATGCCTATCGCCACGCTGAAAGGGCCTTTAGAAAGTATTATCAGGATTGAAAAGCAGTGGAGGCAATTCCCACCACCTGGGTCAGCTGTGCTGGTGTGCGGCGTGTTGCTGCCACCTGCTGCATGCAAACAGCCATGGAGGGGCTGTCTCCTGGGTTGTGCGGCTGCGGGACACCAGGTGCATTCAATTAATATTCTGTGGGTGTCTGAAATTTTTCTTCTCTTAGAGCCTGGGTGAGTCCCAAAGGAAAACTAGTCAAATCTGATGACTCCAGGACACAGAGGTTTCTAGGTTTAAAAACCATGAACCAAGCTCTGAATCACAGCCAGAGAAGGCAGATCTGCCCAGTAACCATTGAACAGGCGCCTGGGGCGGCCCAACCCCAATGAGAGGCAAGGATTCCATTAAAATTGATTCTGTAGCTCTTGTTTCACCATATGCAAATCTCTGTTCTCCCAGCTAAATTCTAACCTCCTGAATGGCAAGGGCCACGCCTTATGTCTCATCATCATCCATACTCCCCCCAGGGCCTTGCATAGGGACAGATAAGTACACACATGACAACATGACACAATGTCATGATACACGATGACATGATACATGATGACAGCCTGGCCAAAATCATCTCCCTCTGACCTTGAAAGAGTAATCACCTCAGAAACACAGCTCAGCCTTCTCATATTCGTCTTGAGGCTTGCTGATGATGCCTCTATTGTAGTAGTGAAATTAGAGTCGCAGAATATTTCACCAATCGTTCATATGGTGGTATGTAGACACATAGTGATTCGCTTTTATTCTTTGTTGTAAACTTAAGCTGTAGTCCTCAGCCTAATGCTTGTCTTTTAAATGTTGGAAGGTGAAGAGGGCCTATTTTATCCAAAGCTGGAAAACCAGTACATTCGTTTCTGGCAGGAAACAGTCATCAGGTGCTAGGAGTCTCTTCTCTGAACCCTAGTCTGAGTCCTCTGTCAATGGAATTAACTGGGCAATATGGCAGGCCTGGTGTCTGCCCGAGGTAGGGGATCTCTGCCTTTGCATTCTGATTCATTCGGCCTTGCTCTACATGGTTTCTGGCTGAGGTGCAGACAAGCTCTTCTGCTGCCAGCGAAAAAGGCCTCCAGCCATCAGGGTGGGAGATGTCCCTACCTGACCTTTAGCCTGTCTGAGACAAGGGTGGAAAAGAAACCTTCACGTCTCCCTGCCCAGGAAGTGTGGTTTCCTTGCAAGAGGGGAGACAAGAAAACTCAGTATGATAGCTGATGCTACCCTCTGTTACTTTTCAGATTTTATTAAAATTAAATGTGTTAATTCTTTATTCTTTCACCCTGGAGCAATTCTGGAAAGAAAACATTTTAAAATTGAACAGAAAAACTATTATGAAAGACACGAAGCCCACATTTGTTAAATGACTTTGTACTCTTGAAAAGAAATGTATAAAAAGCACATTACGAAGTGCTCTGCATGATTTCCTTTGTTTGGATTTTAGAAGCAGCTTAACTGACACAGGGATCCTGAAAGAGAGAATCTTCGGATTCTGAAAAGCCTTTTAACGAAGGTGACACAGAAGATTTCAGAGAACAATTTCAACATTGTTCTGTGGAAGGTTATACTTAGCTCTGAACCACATTGCTTTCCTGTCTACGTTTCATTTCCTGGGGTCTTGCCAAGTGATAAACAGCCCCAGGCATGTGGTAGATTTGGGGTTTCTCAGCACGAATAGGGTGGCTGGAGTTTCCTTCGTTAAAAGCATCAATTGACTTCTGCGATCATTATGGAAATGCTGAGATAAGGTCTTCGGGCGACGATGGAGAAAAAATGGACATACTGTGCCGTCTATTCCATCATCCAGATACATTTTGTCAGGGGTAAGGCCTCCGGTTGTCCTTTCTTGTCAAATCGGCTGCTTTAGGGGCGACTGGGGCCTCTGTTCATTTAAAATGCCTGTGACTGCTGCCAAAGTTGATCACCGAAGGCAGATCATTACTACGGTTTTCAGTCATGTGTTTAAGTGGCAGCTATCGGAGAGATGTTAGAGTCTAGAAATGATTACTAACGAACACTAAAAACAGGAAGGGAACGAGTAGTTTGTGCCACTGCTCTGAGACATTTTCACCCATTTCCTTTCTAAGAGGATCTCTGGAGTAACTGGGAAATTGTGTTTCTTGGAAATGAAATGCTCTCCAAACGGTAGTCAGAACAACTCCAGAATACCAAAAGAATCACAAAGGCATCGATGCTCAGAGATCTTTGCTGAACTTTTTCTCTCTCTCAAAGATCCTTTTTCTTTCAGATATAACAAGCGTTTCTCTTCCAAATATTAATGTCTTTGGGTGTTGAACATACATTGAATTTTAATGAGGCATGTGTAGGTATGGACCTCAGAGACAAAGTGGGTCCCTACGACAGTGGGAACCAGTGCCTAAAGGCCCTAATTAGAAATAGCAAGAGGAAAGATTTGTTCTGCATTCCGTTGCATGCGGGCATTACAGTGAGCCTGAGTGTCTTAAGAATTAACTGTGCTTTTCAGATAGAGCTACGAAGGTTTTAAGGAGAATTTCTAAATCAAAGGAGACTTTGGAATATAATGCTGTAGATAGGATCAGAGGCATGTTATCAGGCAAAGGAGAGCTCACAGGGAGCTACATTAAGCTGTACTAACCTCTGCCTACCCAAGGTTTTGCATCCATAAAAGTGTAATAATTCCCATTTGTCAAGTACCTTTGAGAGCATTGTTTCTTCTCAGTTGCTTGTCATCTTTTTATCTTTTCCCTTTGTGAGCTTCAGTGGTACTTGTCACAATAATATATCATTCCTGTAAGAGTATTCTATGCTAATTCTAAAACTGGGGCTACACTATTGAAAGGATGTCAAAGGCTCAATGTTTAACATGTATTAAATGCCCTGTACCATTTGGCCAGAGAGCAGATGGGAGAGAATCTTCTTCTTTGTGTCTAGTATTTCAAAGTGTTGCTTATAGATGATACCGACTAATGGTTTATCTTTGGTGGAACCTCTGCCTGAGATATTTTCTCCCCTCCTTTCCTCAGGAATTCTAACTATATGGAAAGGAAGGCCCTTTGGTCCTCATATCTTGAATGTGAAGTTTCTTACTCTTCTCAACCAATCTGGGAGGCAGTTTGGAGGTTATGACAGTTATGAGCACAGACTCTAGGCAACTGAATTCATGGTCTTTTCCTGAGATGTGACTTTAAGCAAATCACTTAGTCTCTCTGTGCCTCAGTTTCCCCTTTGATAAAGAATGTTAGCAGCATCACTCTTTGGTGTGTGAGGATTGAACAAGCTAGCCTGTGCAAAAGCCTAGGCTATATATCTATTATTTTTTCAGTTTCAGAAAATACTGTTTGTGTGTAATATGGAGCTCTTGATTCATAACCAAAAAAGCCAATTGTACTCATTGTAAGAAGAGTTGCCATAAATTTGCTGATGGGCTTCAACTTTTAAAGAGGCTTAAGTTTTGTTCATAGGTAGTCAGAGACCTTAGAATATTTTTTGGACAGACTAACAGACAGAAAGATGGATATTCAGAAGTCAATAAGTTCCTCTAATGTCCTTAAGCTAATGTCTCCTCATTTGTACGGAGTCTCATGCTTTTTTATCCAGAACAATCTCTCTCCTACACCTAAGGCAGCCAGGGAGAAAATTCCTCAGTTGCTCCCTTGCCTCACCAAAGTAGCCAAGGTTTTTAATTAAGAGTCGCTTCATATGAATCATACAAACTGATGGCTCATGTCCTTCCTTTTCAGGGGTGTGGGAAGAAATGTTCAATGCAGAAGAAGACGTTTATGCTTTACCTGGCTCTGACGTCAACCTGACCTGCCAAATACGGAAGAAAGGCTTCTTGGTGCAGATGCAATGGTCCAAGTTCACTGATAAGTTGGACCTGATTGCCCTTTATCATCCCGAATATGGTTCCTACTGTGCCATTGGGAGTCCCTGTAAGTCACTGGTGACTTACAGAGAAATTCCTGGGAATGTGTCGCAGTGGACTCTGCACTTAAGGAACATGTCCTCCTCACTCACGGGGAAGTATGAATGTAGCTTTACTCTGTATCCAGAGGGCATTTGGACTAAAATCTACAACCTACTTATTCAGACAAATGGTAAGTGTAACTGGTAGAGGGAAGGAAGCACATGCTTTCATTCAGTTCTCATTCGTTCAACAAATGTGCATTATGAGCCAACCATGTGCTAGGCATGGTGCTATGTACACAAAAGTTGAGCAGAAAGAGGCATTGCCTGGGAAAGAAGACAGAAATTGAGCAAATAATTCCATAAGTAAATGTAAAATTGCAACGGTGATAAGTCACAAGGACTACAAAAATCTTGTGAGAGTGCCTATAACAGAGGCCAGGCAAATTGACCCTGAGAAAGCAACACCTGAACTGAGAGCTGAAGACTGAGTAGAATTAACATCATTTAGGAGGTTGGATGTTTGTGAGTGACCCACAACTTGTGTGAAGCGCTTTGTAGAGTTTGAGGAAATGGAAAAATACAGGTGGGACTGCCGTGGGGGATTAAGGGATGAAGTGGGAGATATGGTAAGAACCAGACCATGCCAGACCTTCTCAACCATGTCAAGGTTTTAATTTTTATCTAAGAGCCACAGGAAGATATTGAAGTATTTTCAACAAAAGGATGGTGTGACATTTATCAACTGATTGTATTTGTGTTATAAAAAGATCATGCTGGCTTCAGCATGAGAATGCAGTGAAGGTGGACAGGAAGGAAAAGGTGGAGACGTGTTAGAAGACAATCCCAGTAGCCCGGAGGAGACAGAGCAGTAGTTTGGGTAGACACAAAAAGAAAATGATAAATTTTATGAGTTGGGCATAAAACAAATATGACTTGGTAATAGAGGAGATATAGGACAATTGCAGCCTGAGTGAAGGAGAGAAAAAAATTGAAGGTGACACCCAGGTGCCTGGCACACATACATGAATGGTGGTGCCATTCACTGAGATGGGAGGCAAAGGAAGCAGAGCGGGTTTGTGCAGGAATTTATGGAAGTGGCTTTGGATATATTTAGCATAGGGCAGGTCAAGATGCCAAGGAGGCTGCTGGACACGTAGTATTCACACAACCACATTTTAGAGGCCTGCATTTGGAGGCAGGAATCCTTGGTTTCAGATCTAGCTACTGTCTGGCTAGAAATGAATTTCACCTGGGGCCTGTCATGTAACTTCTCTGAGACCATCTGCAAAATGATGATAATAATGTCTACCCTAAATTACTTGGTCCTAAAATAAATGATTTCCATTTCTACTAATGGAAAAGAATGAAGACGAATGCCAACAAACAGAAAATGCGCTGGAAATGGGATGTTTTTAACTCAGGGGCAAAGTAGCCTGGTAATATAAGAAAAACAACAAAAATTAACTCCTGAGGGTTCTGCTGAAGGAGGCATGGAGCTGCCCAGGACAGGAGCAGGTGTAGATTTATCATCTCCTCTCTATTTCTAATCAAGAGATCGGACCATGGAATCGAAACAGCCCACCTATAGGGCAGGGCCTCCTCCACCACGACCTTACAAAGTCCTACTTCCATTGAGGTTTTCCAGGAAAAAAAAAAAACTTGAGCTCAACTGGGGCTGGGATGGGGCTGAGTAAAGAGAAATAAGGAGACCTGTATAGAATAATGTTTAGTTATACGAGTTTGAGGATTGGCTCTGTCTTTTACTGTATATATCATCTTTGCCAAGTTGTTTCAAGTCTCTAACCTTTTTTTTCCTTACATAACGAATATGGATAATTATAGTACCTCCTTCATACGTACCATTATTTTTATGATTAAATGAGATAATCCATGTAAAGCATTTAGCATAGTTACTGCCAAAGTGTAAGGGTTTGGTAAATGACAATTTTCACCAAGAATAGTAATAATAGTAATGAGTGAACTCTATCTCTTAGTTTTTATTATAAAAGAATCCTCCTCCCTCTCTTTATATTTGCCTAATTTGGAATCCAACACGACATTCACCATACATTAGCAGAAGTACACACTGACCTTGGCTTTAGATATAGATTTCGTACCTTCTGCCTAAATCAGTAAACTATATATAGTATTGCGTATCTGAGGCCCTAATGTTTACTCCATCGAGAATTGGCAACATGGATTAGTGTAGCCTATAGGAAACAGGATATGGGATGGCTCAACATGAAGACAGCAATGGAGGTGAGGTAGTATATTACCCAGAAAGGAGGGTGGTGTTGCCTTTAAGGAAAGCATATTTCTTAAAATAATGGGCAACCCAAGGGAGCCAAGCTTGTTGCTGCTAAAAACTGCAAATCGCTGGAGAGGCAGAAGCCATGTCGACATCCTGCGTGGTTGGAAAATTCTCAGTCTTCTGATTGTAACTTTGCTGCTGGTCCGCTGGACCAGATGAAAAAAAAATGGCCTCAGTATCAGAGAAATAGTACTGGTATTGTGTATTTGGGTACAAAGGAAGCAAAATAGAAGAGAGCAAAACAGAAAGGGAAAAAAATTCTTCACCGTGGAGTGGCCAAAAGTGTAAGCCCAGTGTAGAGCTAAGGGGTAGACACTGACCTCAGACGAGGCAGCTGCCAGCGGAAAGCCTTGCCAAGTCCCCACCCAATGACACAGCTTTTTCTTCTTTATGCTTTCGATCTTCTCTCCCTTCTTCTCCTCTCACTTGTGCCATTTTTCTCTTACATCCCTGTGCAAGCTTCAAGTTTACAGGACAGCTGGATAAGCAAAGCACAAATAAAGAGCAAACACTTATGAGGTACAGAATCCAGTGCAAACTGAAGTGATGTACAAGAATCTAAATGTGAGGTGCTGAGGGACCAGAGGTGGTTAGGACCTCTTCCTGTTTCCTTTTGTGTCATCTGAGTTGCTCTCTTCCCCTGTCTGCCCACAAAACAGTGTGTGTCTACATCCTGTCCCTATGCTCCCCGAGGGCGCAGCTGAGAGGGGACTCCGTTCTCTCCCGCAGTATTTTCTTCCTGTGAGTTAGTGCTGAGGCTGTGCGTGAGGTGGGACTGTAATAGTCAGTTTGGCATTTGCTTCTTTTTCCATTCTCTGATTAAACCTTGGGTTATTGTAACTGAGGTTTCCTTAATTTGAATGCTACTGGATCCCACAATGCTTCAGCTTGTAAGATTTTGATGCATTTTAAAATTTGTCGTTATTAGAATCCGTTATGAGAGTACAGTGTGGCTTTACTTTCCCAGATTAGAACAAAAGCCCTAGGGGGCTGTTGATATTGTTATTGGAAGGAGGAGGAGGAGGGGTATTGGTAACAGAAGGAGGGGCAGGCAATAACAATAACAACATAAGAAGAAGATAATAGAAGTGGTAGTAACAGTAGCCATATAATCTTGATAACATGACCCTGATAAGCTCGGTCTGACTGCATACTATTACCCTGGCTAGAAGCACAGTTTGTTCTTTGACTTTTTTTTTTTTTCAATTTAATTGAGATATAATTGACATATAACATTCATTAGTTTTAGGTGTGCAACATGAGGATTTGATATATGTATATATTTCAAAATGACTACCATAACAAGTTAACACCCACCACCTCACATAGCTACAATTCGTTTTCTTTTATGAGAACTTTTAAGATCTACTCTCCTAGCAGCTTTCAAATATACAATACAGGTTTGTTAACTATAGTCACCATGCTGTGCATTACATCCTCAGAACTTATCATCTAATTAGAAGTTTGTACCTTTTCAACCCCTTCTCCTACTTTACCACCACCTCTGGCCTCTGGCAACCACCCATCTGTTCTTTGTGTCTATGAACTTACTTTAGTTTTGTTTTTTAGATTCCACATATAAGTGACATCACACAGTGTTTGTCTTTGTCTGCCTTATTTCACTTAGCATAATGCTCTCAAGATACATCAATCTTATCACAAATGGCAAGATTTCCTTCCTTCTTGTGGCTGAATGATATTCCATTGTATATTGAAATATTTTCTTTATCCATTCATCCACAGATGGACACTTAGATTTTTTCCATGTCTTGGCTGTTGTAAATAAGGCTGCAAGAACATGGGGGTGCAGATATCTTTCCGAGATAGTGATTTCATTTCTTTCAAATGTATACACAAAAGTGGGATTGCCAGATCATGTGATAGTTCTATTTTTAATTTTTTGAGAAAACTTTATACTGTTTTTCATAGTGGCTGCACCAATTTACACCAACCAAGTATAAAGATTCCTTTTCTCCATGTCCTCATCAACTACTCTTATTTTTTGTCTTTTTGTTAACAGCCGTTCTAACTGATGTGAAGTGATATCTCATTGCAGTTTTGGTTTGCATTTCCCTGATGATTAGTGATGCTGAGCATCTTTTCATGTACCTGTTGGCCATTTGGAGGGCTTCTTTGGAAAAACGTCTATTCAGTTCTTTTGCTCATTTCTTAATCAGATTTTTATTTTTTTGTTATTGAGTTGTGTGAGTTCTTTATATATTTTGGATATTGACTCCTTTTCAGGTATATGATTTGCAAATAATTTTTCCCATTCATTACGTTGCCCTTTCATTTTGTTGATGGTTTCTTTGGCTGTGCAGAAGCTTTTTAGTTTGAGGTAGTACCACTTTATTTTTGCTTTTTGTTGCCTTTGCTTTTGATGTCAAATCCAAAAACTCACTGCCAACACCAACGTCAAGTGGTTTACCCCTAAGGTTTTTATCTAGGAGTTTTGTGGTTTCAGGAATTAGGTTCAAGTTTTTAATCTATTTTGAGTTGATTTTTGTGTATGGTGTAAGATAATGGTCCAGTTTCATTCTTTTGCATATGGCTGTCCAGTTTTAACAACACCACTTATTGAAGAGGCTATCCTTTCCCCATCGTATATTCTTGGCCCCTTTGTTGTAAATTAATTGATCATATATGTATGGGTTTATTTTTGGGCTCTCTAATCTGCTCCATTGATCTGTGTGCCTATTCTTACAGCATAGTTTGTTCTTAAACTTGAATGCTGGTTTTCCTTAAATTCTTGTATTTAGTCTTTATCCAACAAATATTTTTGAGTGCTAGACACCAAGGATGCAGTGGTGCAAAATACAGACATGACTCCGCCTTCAGGAATCATGAAGTCCAATGGGAGGAGACAGATATTAATCAAATAAGCAAACAAATGTGGCAATGAGGTAGATGGAGAGAAATGTTCAGATTGGAAACATGTTTAGGAGATTCATCCTACCGGATTTGGTGGTGGATTGCGTATATGGAGTAAGGAATGAAAATCAGTGTCAAGGATGATGCTCTGGTTTTAAATATGTGGAACAGAAAAAACGGGGGAATTACTCACTGGGTTAGGGAACACTAGAAGATGATCAGATTATGCAGGGATTACTTTGAGTTTGAGTTTGTGCATGTTGAGTTAGGCTTAAAGTTGGGACACACAGGAGATGTCAGGTAAACAGCTGGATATACAATTTCTGACCTAGGAGAAAGGTTTAAGCTGAAGATATAAATTGGTGAGCCATCTGAGTGTAGGTGCTAACTGAGTGTGGGAGTGGAAGAAATATATCTAGGCAGAGAAAATCAAGTGAGAAATGCAATGTGGCCCTTCAACAGAGTCCATGGCAATGAATGGAGAAAGAGGAATCTTCAAGGGATACAAAAGAGTAACTAAAGAGGCAGGAGTAAATCAGGGGAGAGTTGGGTCACAAAAACCTAGAAAGATAATATTTCATAAACAGAGTAGCCCTCAATTCTGATGTTTCTGAGAGGATAAAATGGCTACTGGATTGTACTTAGGAACATGGAAGTTATCAATTACCTTAATGGGAGCTGTTTTTGTGGCATTACAGAGTTGGAAGTCAGAGTGGGGGGAAAGGAGACACGAGCAGGAGTGAAGGAAATGGAGATAGCAAATGCTGACACAACTTCTAAGAAGTTTGTCAGTAGTAATGGGAAAGGCGTGAGTGCTCAAATGAAGGTTTTCCTTGGCGTTGTGGTAGTAGTGATGGTGGTTTTATTTAATGCTTCAAAACCAATGGGCAGGATACAGTTGAAAGAGTCATCAAATACATTACTGAGAAGGTAAAAAGAAATAAATTAAAGTTTAGGAGAGGGGGACAACGAGATTCATTACACTAGTAGTAGGACTATCCTGAAATGGAAAAAAGGGCAGGTTTTTTTACTGTAACAGGAGGGAAGGAAACGAGGATGAGTGCATGTGACGAGGGAGGTTCCATCTTCTACTATTTTCTCTAAAATGTCACACAGTCATCTCCAGGTGAGGAGAAGGCTCCAGAAGAAGAGATTGGAGAAGGTTTGAAGTAGCTTCTATGGGGAGAGGGAAAATGAGTCCAGTAGGTAAATGTATTTGGGTTTTTGGTTAGTGTTGAACATCCGTTTGAGTATGGCATGAAATTGTAGTGGAAACAATTTGCATTGTGACTTTCTCCAGCAGCGCTTGGCTGCTTGGGTCTGGGCAGTAAAAAGTAGATAGTTGGAGTCTACCACAGTTGGATTCTCTTTAGATAGATTTAAAAAAAAAAAAAAAAAAAAAAGAGCCAAGGGATTTGGAGTATTAGCAAGAATGTTACTGAAATGATGGACTATGGAACTTTAGTTAGATAAAGAGAGAATCAAAGAAAGGAGAAAGCTGATGGATTGAGAGAAGGTAGAGAGATCAACTCATTAAAAGACCCAAGGAGGACACAGAGCAGTTGAGATGGGACTGATTGCACAAAAAAACTGGAAGAAGAGGTGTTTGTAGATTTGAATTAGTGATTTTGTAGACGGAGCAATTATGTGTGGTGATAAGGTCCAAGATGTGATTGTCAGAGTAGGTGGCTGAAATGGAGTGGAGACAGTGGAGATGACAGTGGGAAGAACTGAGAGGCCAGATATTGGATAGGTCATCTGCATGGTCAGTGAAATCACCCAGGATTATGTCAGGGTTTAGGGATAAGAGAATTGCAATCCAGATATCAACATATTCAAATAATAATGGATGATGGTTGAGAGATGAGAACAGGAGTCAACAAACTTTTTCTCTGATGGGCCAGATAGTAAATATTGTTAGACTTTGTGGTCTCAGTCTTAGTCACAACTACTGAACTCTGCCATCGTAGTGTGAAAGTACCTATAAACAATATATAAATCAGCAGACCTGACTGAGTTCCAATAGAACTTTGCTTACCAAATCAGGCAGCAAGCCAGATTCAGCCCACAGACCATAGTTTTACAACCCCTGGATTAGAAGATAACAGCAGTGAATCTAGGAAGAGAGGGAATGTTTAGTTGTTCACAAAGTGTGTTACTTACATATAGCTGGCAGAACTGGAGATGATTTTAGGTGATTTGTGAAAAAACTTAAAAACTTCTAATTGTTGAAAATTTCAAACATATGAAAAATTATACAGAATAGTATCATGAACTCTCATGTACTGAACATACAGCTTCAACAATTATCAACCCATAGGCAATCTCGTCTCATTTAAACCCGTATCAACTGCCCCCTCCCAGATTACTTTGAAGAAAATCCAAGATATCCTATTCATTTTAGAAGAAATCTCTACAAGATAAGGACGTTGTAAAAAATATAGCCATAATGCCACTGCCAGAACTAAAAAACTAGTAAGTCCTTAATAGCATCAAATACTCAATCAGCCTCATTATTTTTATTGTTATGCTTTGTTTAAACTAAGATCCAAATAAACTCAATGTATCGTGATCATTTGATAAGTCTCTTTTAAACTGAAGGCTGTT